ACACATCTGCATCGCAAAGCAAGCAACTCTTTCGAACAGTCCAGCGCAGCCCCCATGCCCACATGCCCACATGCCCATATATGCACGCCCCCTTGATCCCCCTCCCCGTCCACTTGGGGCTCACCTGTAGTTGGGCCGACCTTGATACCCCTGCTGCTGCAGCGCGCCATAGCCCTGCCCCTGCGGGGGCATGGGGCCAGGCCGCCTCTCTGCAGAGCTGGACTGATGGCTGCCGTAGTGGGGCTGCCCCTCGCCCCCTGCTCGCTGTGGCCGCAGCTGGGCTGCACCCCCATAGTAGGGCCCGGCCGAGGGGCCCTGCTCATGTGCATATGGAGGAGGAAGGCTCGCAACGGAGGCCTGCTGCTGCTGCTGCTGCTGTTGGAGGGCATGCAAATGGAGTAGAGCCTGGGAGCTGAGGGCGTCCCCCCACGCGGGTGGTAAAGGTTGCGGGGAGTGTGTGCGTTCTCCTAGATGACCAGGGGAAGGCTGTGCCCAGGAACCGCCATAGACAGGCCCAATAGGGGGGCCACGAAACTGGGGACGCCCCTGATCAAAGTGCGGGAGCGGGGGTCCTCCAGCAGGGAAAGCGGCAGGCCGGGATGCTGAGAAGCCTGGCGGGCCTCGGTTGGGGGGAGCCCCAGAGGCGGCCGGGTAACCTTGGGTGCGCTCATGCGCAGATCCCTGCCTGAGGCTGGCCTCCAGCTGCTCCACAGACAGGGCGCCTGCTGGCAGGCCTTGCCCCTGCTGCAGCTGCCGCTGCTGGGCCTGCTGCGCCTGCAACTGGCGCACGTGCCACTCCCAGCTCTCCTGAGGGCCGCCTGCAGGGCCCTCTGCTCGTGGCCACCATGCGGGTTGTGCAGAAGCAGGGGTGGCAGCAGGGGCAGTGCTTGAGCTAGTGTCCACCAGTTGCCAGGGCGCAGGCGCAGGCGGGCCATCGGAAGTGGTCAACTGTCGGAAAACCAAGGCGCGTTAGAAGATGCAATCTCAAATTTGGCAGGCGGAAGGTGCCAAAAGGTATTTCGAGGTTACTGTAGCATGCTAACACAAATACTGAATTTTATCCTTCAAGAAGCGCACATGCCGGAAAATATTACGGCATGTTCCCGCGCAACTATAGTATGAGAGTCCAGGGAAGAAACTCAGTAGCTGGGTGCGCATGCTGGAGCACATTTGCGATAGAGTGTTGCGATGAACATCATGCTGAGCCTTTCCACAAGGAGAGGTGACCCATGCTCACACTGGTCAAGAAAGTGCCAGATTCTTACTTTGCATGCCAAGGAAAGCACTTTCCGAACAAATCAAGCATTGTAAACCTGCAGCATGACCGATGCTAGGGTTTGAGTTTCAAGTGGCAGCACTGACCTTCGCAAATGCCTGTGCCACCTGCTGCTTGCTGTCGTCATCTCGCAGCTCCTCAATGTCCACCTCTTCCTCCCCTTCCAGCCCTTTCACCCCGCCCTCGTCATCTGGGGCAAGTGCACCCCCCGCATCCTCCTCAAGTCCACCCAACTCCAGCTCCAGACCACTGCCGCTTGGGTCCCCAAAAAAGGCATAAGCGCCCGCATTGAAATCCTCGCCCGCATCTTTATTTAAAGAACCATTGCCGGGGTCAAATTCAACAAAAGCTGCGGGTGCCTTCAGGTTCTGCTCTCCACCATTATGTCGTTTCAAACGCTCCTCCTCGAAATTGGCTGCAGATGGGTGGTCGGCCTGGTGCCACACAGCCGCTGCATCAACAAACAGCATGTTCAGCGCAATCCCATCTTCAATAAAAAGATCCACAGAACAGCAGCCCTCTGTGCAAGAAAGGCCGGCAAAAGCATTCTCTACAACAAGGTCACTTCTAGCAACCCTGGGGTGAACCATGCAAACGCAACTGTGCATGTTCATTATTACGATCGATGCACCACTTGCAGCATAGGTGAATCCAGTAAGGTGAGCATCAGAAACGTAGATACAAAGTTGTAAGCAAGGCTTTTGTGCCAGTGGATGCTTGTCCACTCCCAACCATTATGAATGCGATTGTGCAAATCGCCCCTACCTGAAGTCGTGGTGGCAATGCAATCAGAACAAGACCTAAACAAAGCACAAATGCAAGCAGTGAAAGAGCCCTAGGACCAATGCACGCCCTCCAGCTGCGTTGATTGCTCCTGGAAGCTGGATGCATTGAAAAAACAACAGCAAAAACCTAAGATGACAGCGTTGCTTGGAAAGTCTAAAGCAAGCTTTAATAGCAGCAAGAAAAGAAAACGTGATGAGCGAGACATTCCTCGCAGCACACCTCGAAGTGCCTGCCAAGGTCCATAATTCTGCATAAAGAGAAACCACAGTGCAAGTGCCTACCTTCTGCCTCGATGCCTCCGAATGTCTCATTGTCTCGCGATCGAGTGCGTCCCATGGTCCCCTCACGACGATCCATGGCTGTCCAGTTAAACAGCTGCGTTGAAACAAACCCTCAGCAGCTCTATTGCCACTAATTTGGAAGTTGGTTTCAGCGAACCAACTCTCAAGCCTACAATAACAAGGAAAACCACCTTGCTCCTCGTCCTATTGAAGATTATCTGTAGGCGACACCCCTGTTTGCAACATTCCTCAATACGGTAGGTAACCTCACTGGTCCTCAGAGAACAACGAGGATCCGGGTCTCCGTTCTCTAGCTCCCTCCTTCATGTGTGTCATGTTCAAACTTCAAGTAAGATTATTAGCACCAGGGTTTCCCACAGCCGGCAAGAGAACCTAGACCTGGCCGGCCGAGATGGGACTCCGGCCGGTGCCGAAGGCACCCAGCCGGCTGCTAGCCGGCAGAAACTGCGGGCACTCTCTAGTCTCAGCTGGCCGGTACAGCCAAGGACCGACTACCGAGCCGGCTGAACCGGGGGGGCGCCGGCAGCTGGCCGGCCGGGACAAAAGTCCGTGGGAAACCCTGATTAGCACGAGCCTGCATCAGAATCAGCAAAGGTTCCGTACCGTGCGCGCAAAGGTCGACACAGACTCACGTTCAAATTATATGGTACCCGGATTGAGAACACCCTGCACGCCGTCGATGTCTGAGATTCTGCTTCAATAGAAGGTTCAGATCCGCACATGGGGCTCACCAGGTGTGGGCACGACAGGTCCGGATTCCCCAGAGGTACCATGGAGGTACGGTACCTACCGTACCTGCCTACCTACCTAAACGCAGGTGTTGCGGCCGCGCTTTTGCTTCGAAGTTCGATTCATTCAAGTTTCTTCTTGCTGGCAAACCAAGACTCAAGTCGCATCTTGCTGATTTCCAAAGGCGACTGCATGGTGATCAGCGCTTCCTGCCAGCTGTTCAACCTGAGATCAGAGCACCTCTTCTTGCCCCGCATTGAGTTGGAGGAGGATTTTGGAGCCGGTTTCGAAAGTGTGTAGGGTTGCAAACAACCAGTTGCAGACAGAGTTCATGTATCGGTGCACAAATAACAGCAGGGCCTTCAACATCAGAAGCCATGAAGTTTCTCGAGTATACGCCATTGGCAACGTGAGTATTTTTGTTGAGCATTTTGCGTGTTGCATGCTAAAAGTGTTCAGTGGCTCTCTAACAGCAGCTCTTGGAGGGCAGTTTATGAGAGGAACACAGTGCTAGGATTGCTGACTTGGGTAATCTTTCTGTTGACCTTCTTTCTCTTTACCACCATCTGACTTGGGGATTGTGGGCCGCTTTGAGTAATTTGTGGCCAAGCTCGAATGAATCCTGGCTCTAGTTCCACAGCATGGTTCAAGGGGCTGTACTCAGATATTCTACCAGCTAGGTCTACAAGGAGCCCCTGGATCTGAGGAGCACATCCACCACATCATACTGCAAGATGCTTCTGTCCAGTCATCTGCATACTTGATGGACCTAGTATGCCTGAACTGACAGTGGCTTCCTCGCCAGATTGAATTCCTTCCTGGGGCATGTCAATCTGGGAGACTACATCATAGAAGGCGATCTTGAGGCTTATTCCTGTGAGTGACATCCGAGCCCCATTGAAAACCTGTCGCATGTAGAGCTCTGGTCTTCCCTTTGCTGCGACCTGCAACTCCTGCCCTGTCATTCTCATCCTGTGGCAGCTCCTGGTTTGAGCTCTTGTTGGCTGTGCCTTGTGTGACGAAATTTACCAGATTGGGCCGCCTGCTGCCCCCCCAGCTGTACCTTGCCCTTTCATCGGTCTGTAATGCCCAACTTATTTTCCAGGCAAGCTGGCCGGAATAGACAAGAAGCTGTCCCGAAATCTAGAGCAAGAGGTAAGCTGCGAGTCTCTTGCCCAGTCTTTGCAACTGTCAGAAGCAGGCAGAGAGAACTGCAGTCAAGATGTTGTAGCCTATGGTGTCAAGCTGAGCCACCTGGGACTCAAAATTACCAACGGCCATGCCCTCGCACCGCATGTCTCAATGTCGCTGCCTCAGCAGTTCTTAGTGTGCTGCCTGGCAGGTCTTGGAGTCCTTCTCCGTGTCCCCTCAGGAGCTGGCCACATCACCGGTTGGACCCCTCTCTAGTTCCGCCAGGTAGTGTGCCAGAAACTTACCCCATCTCAGGATTTGCTTGTAGCTGAGGACTGTGCCGCGTAGCTTGGGGGGTGCAGCTCATCCCTTGTCGATCCTACTCTCTCAAGTTGGTCAGCAAATTAGAAGTCTGTGCATAATGCATTGCAGGATAGGCAGTTGGCAGCTGCAGATTTGCGGAGGTTTGTGTCTCTGCGAAATAGATACTTTCGATGAACCTAACTGCCCTTCTTGTCGTCCTCTGCAGCCGGAAGACCCTCATCTACCTAATCCTGACTCTGAACCACATGTACCCTGATTATGACTTCAGGTAGGATCTCCCAGATTAACTGAAGTCTGCGCTGCAGGAGTATCAGCCACTATGCTCTGTCTGGATGGTGTGTCCGCAGTGTATCTTCGCTGTTCTCCTCTGAACTTTCTGAAGCTCTTATGCTTTTGTGGGCTATGCCCTGCGTTGCTCTGCTTGGCAGGCCGCACGGGTACCCCATGCTTGTGGTTCTTGACATTTCCTGGAAGTGCTGTCAAAGGATGACAGGCGGTTTCTGGCCGTTGCCCTTTTGGGCTGAGAGTTCAAGTCTCTCCATTTCCTCTGCTCCTGGGGCCCCACCGTGGGCAGCCCAGGAGCTTCTTGACCGGTCCAGGTTGTCTCCCGGTGCATGATCCACCTTAATAGTATAGTCAGATGCTGCACTGAGCACTTTCACGCTGACTTATGTCCTTGGTGAATTGATTTATATGCATTCTTTCAATGCTTAACCACATTTGCTCATTGTGTAGGATTTAGTGTGCCAATGTTAGGACTGGGAATCGAGCTTAGGGAGTACTCTCAAATCTCTTGTGTTCAGATTTTTGCCTTTCGTGATCCTAAAAATTGCAGACAAACCTGCGAATGGTATATTGCCTTTTGTTCTCCGGTGCTTTTCTGAGTGGGTTGGTCTGCTTCACTCAAGTTCATGTTGCTCAAAGTGAATCCTTTGAGTTCTTTTTTTTGGACATTGTTTCTCCGCCTTTGGTTAAACACATTCAACCAAAGTTGAATGTGTTTAACTTTGGTTGAACACATTTCAACCAAAGTTGAAGGACTTGATCGAAGCTATTCCTTCGATCAATAAGGACATTAGTGGATCATTGGGGAGACCTCTAGTGGCGCTGCAGTGGGCCCTGTCAGCAAGGGCGGTAGTAGGTGGGGCCGCAGGCAGCCTTAAGAAGGTTGCTTGGGTTGAAAGATGTCTGTCCCAGCTGGCCGGTGCACGTCCCCATCCCCATCTGCTGCCCCCCCTTTTTGCATTCAGCACTCTGCGAGCGCACCACTTCTGCAAAGAGAAGGGGGTGGCCGCCGTTCGGCAGACCATCGACAACTCGTTGATGGAGACAGGCCAGGTCAGTGGCCAGAAGGACAAGACTGCCACCTCTGAAGATGCCACCTGGCATCCAGGACACGTTTGATGCCTGCATCGTACAGCTGTGCCTTTTCAACCGCTTCTTGGTCGCCAGAGCACAGCAGTCTTCCATCTCAGTGCGGCAGCTGGTATTCCATCTTCATAGCGGCACTGGCCTTGACCGACCCCAGCCCCCATGCATCCACCGCAGGTCTGGGCGCGAGATGTGGGGGACTCCACTTCCTTCCTGGAAGCCTTGTGGAGTGCCATTGATGAGGTAAGCAGCCAGCAGGTTGCTCTGCCTTGCTTCTGCCTACTATGCCCCACTGCTTCCGGGTGCCGGTGGCCAAGTGTGCACACAGTGCGCGACGCTGCCATGCCGATCCTAAATGACGCAGTCCTCTGGCCTCCTCCTACATGATGCAGGTGATCCAGCTGGTGGATTGTGACGTGTACAGCTACAAGTCGGATCATGATGGAGACCCATTCGGAGAGAAGGGGGCCATGTGCGTGCGCCTCGCATGCATTGCCGGGCTTGCTAAGCATGTTGCTTGTTACGCACTGCCTATGCTCAGCAGTTGGTGTTTAGTAATCAAACGCTTTCTTAGCATTGTTGATTGCGACGCAAGACCTGACGCTTTGCAGCGGCCCTGCTTCAAAAGTAACATGCTTAGGGCTCATGAGGCTGGACGCTGAGCTACTCCTGCTGTACTGTTTGCAGCTGGTCCTTCAATTACTTCTTCTACAACAAAAAGCTGAAGCGGATACTTTACTTCAGCTGTCGATGTAAAAGGTGGGTCTTTTATCAGCAGTATCTTTTCTTGGATTTCACATCCATGTCTTGCTCAAACGACCTTGTGCATAACGTCTCCCTGCTCGTAATGCAGTCTGCTTCATTACAGATTAACATCGGATTGGCTGAACTCATTTAATTCTACAAATGCAGCAAGTTGGCCTTGGACGAGGCTTCCCTGTCTTCTGAGGAAGGGTTTAGTGAACAAGAGGATGAAGGCTTTGTGAACGACATGGACATGGATGTGTAGTCTGCGCCAAGGCTAGCATTTGGCGGTAGAGTTTGCGAGAAGTTTGAACTCTAAAGAGAATAACTAGGCAATTCTTTGGCTTTTGCTTTTGAGTATGCAACCACATTGTTGGAAGCAGGGAACAAGATACATACCTGTACATACGACGTTTTGTACCATATACAGTAGTGTTAAATATTTTGGTACGCTTGAGAAGGCATCGTTGGGGTTGATAGGCAAAAGGCTGAGACCGGATGAATAATCTTGTAATTTTTTACCACCCTCGGTGGGCCAACTTGGAAGCACAGTATGAATGCAACCGTGAACCATTCATGTAGTTCGATCGGATACTTGTAGTATGATTCTTATTCTTAGTCAAGAACGGATTGCGGCATACTGTCGACATACATATATCCACAGGCGCGGCACAGACTCTCCGTGACTCCACAAGGCAGGTGATTCTGGTATCCATCTTTGTCCGTCAAGCTCTTTGATATCTGTCTGAGATATAGTTGAATGACAATGACAATGATGATACAAATAAAACATGGCGGCAACGGTTGGCCGAGCCAATTAATTCTCAGATTGTCATGTGTGGTCGGACTCGGAGTGGCATGGCACCTCAAATATTGCACTCCTCAGCGATCATCGTGACATGACATCTCCACGACCCTTGGACCAACAAATCTTGGCAATTGCCAGAGGCCAGAGGCCCCTCGCGCACCTAAAATGCTCTGCATGAGCAGCTCAGTAGCACGAGCCATGTTCAATGCGCTATGCACATGCACCGATCTACATGAGCTATATCGATATTAGGGCCTAATTTGAGCCGAGATCGACGCCGCCCTCATCTCAGCCAAACAACTCGCAGAGCGGATCGCGCACAGCGGGAAGAGGCATCATGACCGCAGAAGCATGTCAATCGGGCCCGGCCTCCCTGCAGCATGCATGCCCGAATTCTCTACTGCTACAGAATCGAACTTACCGTACGAGGGTATTTTGTGGCGCATGATTCGCGACCGTTGTACGTCTCAGTGGCCGCTTAAGTTAAGTTCGAGGCTTAGCGGCCTCGAAGCAACGAGTGCAGCATGCCCCCCGCTGAGTCCACAGCCGACTCCGCCGCAGACCGGACTCAGAGGCCCGGGATCTGCCTAACCTCCGTGTCGGACCGGACATCCACCAACAAACGGGGTTCCCCCGGAGTTGACGGTGATTGAATCATCTGCCGCGACCGAGTCCTTCACCCTCATGCAGCCTCCCCTCTGTCCTCTTGATCTCGGACTCAGTGGGATCGAAGATACAGCTCCAAGAGTATCTCGAGTCCACTCTCGCCTAGGCTCTCACCTCACACGGAAACCCCCCTTGCGCGAGACTTGTCGTTAAGTGATCCTAAATTCCATGAAGTCTAAATTCACTGACCATCTAGGATGGTATAAAAAATACGGTCTGTTTGATCCCATATAGAGCTACTGAGAGTCTAGACCGGCATGGTACGTTTACGCCTTGCCAAACTCAATTCGGTGCTGGTTAACCTTGCTCGAGCGGCTAGATCGCCGCGAAAAATCCGATAAGTGTGGCCGCGCTTGCTCTATATCGAAACATACGAAATACATATTATGATTCGATCAACATGATTCCGCAAGAACAGGCTAGCATTGGTTTCGTTCAATCCATTCATTCAATGAATTTCTCTCGAGTCATAACTTAGTCACTCGATTGCATGTCATGGTGTGTTTGTTAGTTTAGCCTGGCCGGTGTCTGCGTGGGTCTAGCCTGCCCCCGCCGGTCGTAAGAATCTTAGCATGTGTTTGATCCGACAGTTCCGAAAATGCTCCGTCAGAGTTCGTTAAATCCGTATGTATGTGTGTGATCCGGCCTGCATGTTGGTGAGTCATGCATAAGTCATGACCACGTTATGATTTCGAAACTGCTGAATCAATGCGCACATCATGTCGGAATTTGCATTGTAGTGAATATTCGTATATCATTTGTCCGGCAACTCGGCGACGCCGATGTCACGAAACTTTAGGAATCATTAGTAAGCGCACATGTCATCAACGAGCATGCATGTATGATAACATTGCAATCGAGTCCGCTTGAACGTGCAGATTGACATGAGGCGCGAAAACAAACGCAACCAATGCCTTACCTTTTGACTCAGATAAACGGTCCGGCCCCAATGTTGACTCCTGATCGACCCTTTACAGCAATGGTGCGCTGCTTTTGCCACGGTGGTGTGTGTATCAGCATTTGACTTGGACGACTAGATTAGTTTACGAATTAGCTTGCAGACTCCCTCAAACACCAATGTTGCAACAGGTCCCCAACTGTGTTATCTATCCTTGCGGATCGGTATTTTGTTTTTTGTACTTGCTTCCTTCGCTGACCGTTTCCCCCCTTTCAAAGTAGGACGATTGACTTCTTCTAGATCGGGATGACTTCTCTCCACCATCTCCATTACTGGGGTCTTCCCCTGCACCCCAACCTTTCCGAGCTTCCCGGATGTGGTCAAAGACGTGCAGTCGTCGTCACTCTCGTCGCCCTGCGATGCACACGAGCCACTGCTTGAGATTAACAGTATATGTGTCTGCTAATCCAAGGACGTCCTGTAGACTTGAGGGGAGTGCGATTGTGCTCTAGAGAGGTTGTCTGCTGACGTTCTGAGTATTAAGGATGGAGCTTGTCAGACCAAGCTCACGTCCAGCATCGTCACAAAAGCCTGCTTGCACGACCCACATGCTCCGACACGTCCTCGCTGACGCCAGGCTCTGCCCGCCTGCTCACCTCGCTGGCAACATGCGCCTTGCGGTACTTGGGCCTGGCATGCAGGTCGGCGTCCATGCCGGCAATCCTGTCCCAGTGGCGCCAGTGCGTGCGCAGCGTGTGCACGCTGGTGCACAGGTTGAAGAGCAGGCACGCGATGAGCAGCAGGCAGAAGACGCCGATCATCACCAGGTGCGACGACAGCGCAGCCAGCACCTTCTGCTGGTCCATGTTGGTCACCTGCCACCGACGCATACCCCCGTCAAGAGTGCCACCACCTCGAGTATCACTACGGAAGAGGAGCAACCAGGACCATAAGCCTGTGGCCTCTCTTGGTGGCAGTACCACCACGACTAAATACCTTGTAGCGCACGCACGCCACGAACAACAGATTGACGCGCAGAGAGAGGGCGCAGTGCGCAAGGGCGCTTTCCAGTCTGCTGCCCCTACTATGCATAGCAAGAAATCCGACTGGACTGGAGCACACACTTGACAACCTGCCAAGCCTGCCAACATACTTTCCCAACCAGTTCGCATGATGTTGTTCGCCTACGTCATCCAAACGCCCCAGTTGAGGGGCAGTGCTGCCCCAAGGCGCTGCTGACCTTGGCCTGGATGAGTTGCCAGTTGTTGTTGATCTGTGACTGCAGGCGGTCCTTGTAGACGAAGCAAGCGATGCCCCCCGCCAGCATGAGCGCAGTGATGAGGCACAGGCAGGTGGCGTGGATGAGCAGCAGCCAGCGCTTGTGGCGGCTCAGCCCGAAGTAGCCCACCAGCGACAGCAGCACCGTGGACGCGCCCGCCGCAGCCACAATGATGGCAGCCCACTCGCCCCTGCCACGCGCACGAACAAGGGTCTGGCGAGCAGTCTTCTGCGAGGGCCCCTCCAGAACACCAGGCACTCCGTGTGGGGGTGATTTTAGCTTTGCAACGAAGCGGATCAGGACGACCAAGTAAACAAAGGGCAGTCTTGAGATAACGAAGCGTACTCCAAGAAAATACACTCCACTCGTGTACCTCAGGAGGAGCTGTAAATACGATTTTACCAAACAACAAGAGTTTGCTCTTTGCTTCCGAAGTTTGGCAGTGTATTGCTGCCGAAAGCTTTCATGAGTGGGAAGTAAGATCAGCCGTCCGTTCGTCCGCATACTTGCAACAGATTGCTAAAGCCTAGCACAGGAGCTGCCTCGTGCATTTACTCCTGCCCATGCCGGCCTTGTTTCCCTCACCCTGCATTTGTCTGGCTGGTGAGAATAGCGAGGTAGAGCAGGGCCCCCCCCAGGACGACCGTGACCAGGTTCATGGCCATGCTCATGCGCTTGGCGGCGTAGCCATGCCCCATCTGCGCGCTGCTGCAGTACAGCCCCCCCGCCAGCAGCGCCGATGTCACCACGCACAGACTGCCCGCCCATGCCAGGGCGCGCACCACCTGCACCAACGGGGGAAACGGTCAAAGCTGGCAACACAACCTCTGCTTGCGGGCTCACCCACCAAGACGCTGCTGCAGACGCCACAAGCTCAGCGAGCAATTGCCTAAGTGAGGATGGCCAGTGAACAGTACCGCCCGCTGCTCTGCAAGTGTTGATACGCAGCGGCCACGCACAGCGCTTGTAGCCGTAGCCTGCGGTGGGGCCGCACCTTGGCCATGGCGCGCTCCTGCACGGCTTGTTGCGAGTTGGGCAGGCCAGCGGGCGCACGGTGCATGTAGTAGAGCAGCTCAAAGCGGCGTGCGTTGTCCGCAAAGAGCAGGCAGTAGACGCCGAGGTAGAGCAGGGTGCCCGCCAGGAGCATGAGGCCCGTGTAGTACAGGAAGAGGCCGTGCCGGTCGTTGCTGCACGCGCTGTACAGGCCCACCAGCGACAGGATGACCAGCCCCGTCCCAAAGCCAACCTGCGCCGGAGGACACGCGGTGTCAGCCACGCACACAATCTGCCACTAGACCAAGCCAGGCGGTAACAAAAGCCACACAACGACGCATCTGGCAGCTCAACCGCCATTGGCTGATGCACGTAGGAGGACGGAGCCAGCTCACCAGGCAGTTGTAAGGATCGCCCAGCACCCAGAGGGACAGCCACGTCTCCCGAGCCAGGAACTTCTGCTGCTCCGCCGCAGGGGCAGGCGCTGTCGCATTGCTGCTTTGTGGCGGACTGTCCGTCGGAGGGTACTCGGCCGTGAACTCCCCCATTTGCCGCCCCATCCTGCAGAAGAGGAACTAGGCAGGCGTAAGCGCAGCCGCTCAGCAGAAGCTACTGTTCTAGGAGATTGCCCCACTCCTGCAATTAGCTGGCACAGACTTCAGAGCGCGAGGAAGGGGCAGACGCTTGGCTGACACAGGCGTTTTGCTGGGGCGCTTTCAGCGTGAAGTATCTGAGCCCCTCGTACGGTATGAACATGGTGAAGGATATCGCAGACACAGAGTTCTGCATCTGCCTTAGAGACATACATCCTCCCAACCCGTGTGGCAGACCTCTGAGCTGGCCTCACCGGTGCACGACCTGCGATCCCACCTGGTCCGGGGGGGATGCGCCTGGGAGCACCAGGGTGGTGATTTCACTTGCATCCCTGGCAGCCTGCTTGCCAACCACGCCAAGATACACAAGGCCCACCCCGAGCAGCAGCGTCACCAAGTTGATCGCCACCAGGCACACCTGCGCTTGCAACCTGGACAGACAACACAGCCGCAGGTGAGAAGAAGGGCAAGCAGCAACTGGGCCTAATACAAAGCGATCATGCATGGAACACCATTCTTGATGTATTCTTCTCTTAGGAGCTCTTCAAGTTGTTTGATGCAGGTGAGCATTGCGGAAGTCAGCTGCGCGACTGCCAGTATTTGGTGAGCCTATATGCATCTGAATGCAGCTGAGGAACTATCCAAGCTGGGCTTCAGCAGGTGACTTATTTGTAACCCAAGACAAAGGCAAGGCCATAAGAAAATGGCCCAATCCTCCCAGGGCCAACGCATGGGAGGGCAGCCCGCAACAGCGCGAATGCTGTGGCAAGACATGTTGGTGAAGTGATTGGCACGGGAAGAGGGGAAGCAGCTCAAACAGAGTGCGCACTCCTCGTGGCCAAAAAGCGGAGGATGCGTATCACTATGAAAGGGCAGGACTTACTGCGAGCATCCTCGTCTGTGGCCGCCTGCTTCTGAATCAGCAGATTCACTAAATATGCTCAGTGTCTCATCGTCGCTCACTGCATTCTCCTCATCCTTTCTCTTCCTCGTTGCCATCTTCTAGCCCGTTGTGATATGCCCTTCTTGTCTACTTGCATGCAGCAGGCAATCAGGAAGCGTACACTCGACTTGGCGTCATCTAGACCTCAAAGTTGTGCATGGGCGCTCCACTGCACGAACGAGAGCCAGAACAAAAGACGAAGAATTTCGCGAGTGAATTTGAGAAAAGGAACAAGGTGAACAACAGAATGTTGGAACACCAAGGATAGGGGAGAGACAGATCATGCCGACCGTCGTACAGAGGAGAAAATCTGGTTGAGATCCTTGTTTGAGGGGAAGGGATACACTATGGTAGCGTTGAACGATGAAGGTAAGCTTACATGGAATCGTCAAGGGTCAGCAACATGGCATTGCTTCTGTTCCTAGATTGTGTCTACTTGTGCCCATGGAGAGATACGGTACATGTATAATACTATTAGCACGTTGATGCCGGACTCGAAGAGATCTTGGCCTTGCATTTGAAGTTGAACCGTAGGTGTGCCAATAATGCATGGTACCAGACATACCATGGTAGGCATGATTCATGACTTCCAAGTTCCTACGAGTACGAGGAGGATGGAAAGAGAAGGGGAAGACAGTACTAGGTAGACTCGACCGTCGCGACAGCGCGCCCAACCAACGGTCACGGTCCTTCCTACGGTAGGTACCGTACTAGGTAGGTAGGTACCCACTCCAGAGTGACACTGACACCAGTGATCACTGATGCCAGATAATGAGGCGTTTTACATGGAGGTTAAAGTTCCGACGTAAAGTCGAATTTCGGACTTACCACGACTTGCCTTTTACATGGTAGCGACTTACCGTGGTAAGTCGAGTCTACCGACGGTAAAGTAGGCCCCAATTTAACTCATCGAAATCGATGAGGTAACTCGTGGTAAGTCGTGGTAAGTCCGAAATGAGTGCGAATTTGGCCTCGATCGGGACTTACCATCGACTTACCCTCGGACCATGTAAATCGCGGATTGCGGCGAGCCCACGGTAAGTCTGGGCGGTACTTGCAAAGTTGCGACAGTGCCCGGTAAGTTACCATTTACCGTCGGCAACTCACCCTCCATGTAAGACGCCTCAATGTGTGCCACGAGAATTGGTAAACACCACAGGGCGCAGGATAGCAGTGGACGGTACGAACCGTCATTTCTCGGGCGACACCCTGGCATCCTTGGCACTTGGCACTTGCCCAGAAAGCAACCGGGCACTGTCAGTGACCTTAGGGTTAGGTCACATGGTATTTTAGGTTACCTACTGTAATACCGTACGCAACTTCCTGTGACTCCTTTTCTACCTAAAATCGGGTTCCTAGCTAAATGATTAAGCCATTACCTAAGTCCTTAGGGTTTTGGTGCGGTTTGATGTTACCCGAGCACTTTATGTACTTATGATGTATCAGGCCAGTCCCAAAAAGTCGGATAAAGCGGCATTAAACCGGGCAAGAATGGGTGTCGCACAAGGAATGACGCAAATTTGAAACCCGTCCACATCCATTTATTCGTCAACTTGTGCCTCGATCTTGCGTTACTTAGGGGAAGGTCATTTTGAAGTGGTACCCCCCCTTTTTGTGAGGGGGGGGAGCCTAGGGCTCCGAGCGCGGCTCGGGGTCCCTATGGGGGGGGGACACACCCACACTTTGCTCACGATGGGGGGGCACCTAACGAGCTTAGCCTTTTAGGTAGCTCAAGGGGGGGGAGCATGGAGCCCGGTCCCCATTTTCATGTGATTCTGAGGCTAAATCAGGCTCCAAATGGCGTATATGAACTTATATTCGTCAAAACCTAAAGGCAAAATGCCCCATACGAAAATCTAAAACGCAGATTAGTGCAAAGAAACCGGTTTCATATGCCCGCATAAGCGACTTCTCTATCCAATTTTGGCTTCTCCCAAATAAAGATATAGGGGGGGTACCCAGGGCCTTGATCCGGGAAAAACAATATGGGAGGGGGGCCCGACGCTCCGATTTCACTTGTGCCGTGGGTATGGGGGAGGGACCCAGCGCTCCCGACAAAAACCCTCTACAAATAATTAGGGGGGGGTACCACTTCAAAGTGACCTTCCCCTTAGCCTAAGTGTCAACAGTCTCAACGGTCCCTCCGGCTCCCGGTTTGAGTCACAAAGTTTCAAGTCTCAAAATCAACCATGCAGTTGCGGACGGGCGGCCGCGGGCCTTTGACCGTCCGAAGGGCGGCCGCACCAAGGCCCAGCCGTCCTAACCAGTGCGGACGGTGCGCAGTGACTTCCGAGAATCACACCGTAACACCCCGGCCGAGCAGAGCTGAACTCAGTCCGACGCCCAGGTGCCAACGCCGACGGCGGCGAGGAGGATGTCTCTTCAATTTATAGGCCGGTTCACATGCGTCGAATTTGGCGTGGTTAGGCTGGTTTCGTCCTACGTGGCAGGTCCGAAACCTGCGGGACGTATGTGAACGCTGTTTTCGAAAACCGTGGTCTAGTTTCTGCCGGTTGGCCAAAACCGGCGAAAACTCGCTGTTTTGCCAACCGAGTTTCGACCCTGCGTATTCGTGGTTTTGGTCGAGTTTTGGTCGCGGTTTTCGATTTGAAGTGCGACCGACGACCAAAACCGGTGGTTTCCGTGGCCCCATATGAACCCCATGTGGCCCCAAACACCCGCTGGTCGGCTCCGCGACCGGCAAAATCGACAGTGTTTTCGCGCCCGTGGTTTTCATTGAAAACACCGCCACTGGACAGTTTTGGCTGGTTTCAGAAGTTCACGAAGACGCATGTGAACCGGGCATTAGGTAAGGTCATGTTGAAGCTGACCCCCTATGTTTAGTTCAGAGGGTGGGGGTTGGGGGTTTGGAATCCTGAGGGCAGGAGGAGGGGGGGGGGGCTCGGAGTTTCCGCCATGGTCGAGCCGCAGGCTCGGAAAT